TCCTAGCTAGGGTAGAGCAACTAGACGTTAAATTGCTATTAAAACTATTAAAAGAAAGAGACTAAAAGTAACTTTGTACACATCCTCGTATCAGTTATATTAACAGCGAATTGCAGCGATACTGTTAAAATACTAAAAAACAGTTTTCCTAACGTCTCTATTAAATAAGTATACTCTATGCTTCTATCTTATAAGCATTGCGCAGTATCTTTGCTTACTAGATACTATTTTTAATAGTAGTTAATAGTAGAAGTATAAAGGTATATATTAAGCTTTAATAATACTATCTCTAGATTATATAGAGCTAATCTAGCGCCTTAAAACTTTATATAAATATTCTTTACTATAAAAATTTTCTTAAATATAGCTTTAAAAGCTAGTAGAAAGATTTTTTTATTAATATAGTAAATATAACTATATACTAAAGCTAAGATGCTATTACTATATATATGCTTTAATAGTAAGAAATAGATAATATTAAGTAATTATAATAAGTAGAATAAGTATATAAGTATATAGAGAGTAATAATCTTCTTCTTCTTATAGCATTTCTAGAATTCTACTATATAATAGCTCTTATAGCTATTAATAATAAATAGCTTATATACTCTAATAGAATATATATAAGAGTTAAAGTATTTAAGCTAAGTAAGTGCTAGATTATTATTTATTTAGCTAGTAGAGCTAACTTAGATAACTTAGTTATATAAGAGATTATAGAACTAGTTTAAGATAAGAACTTTGGCTTATAAAGATAAGAAAAAATAAAATTACTTTCTTTATTATGCTAACGCTTTATACTAGTATAATTTACTTATAATTACTAAGCTAATACTTCTTTTATCTTCTTAAGCTTCTTTAAACTTATTATTATAAGCTAAGAGAATATCTTATTTATTAAGAAGCTAGACTTATTAAAGTTATATATATTCTTATCTGCAACTTTATACTTCTCTTTTATACTCTAAAACTAATATAAACTAGAGCTAAATAATTGCTAAGTTCTTATAAATAGCTTACTAGTAATTATATAGATAGAACTTTAGTATATTTATAGCTTAGAAGTATGCTTAATAAAGTTATTAATTTAGTTCTTACTAATAAGCTTACTAGCGTACTCTCTAAGTAGTCTATTAGCTATATTTTATATATTAGCCTTTAAGATAAGTAGACTGTATATAGAATACTTAAGTATATGCTCTATAATTACTTTCTCTTTTAGTTTTATAAAGTGCTTTATATTTAGCTTATAGTTATATTAAGAGTAGCACTCTATATAATAGTCTTAGATAGTACTTTAAGAGATATTATAGATAGCTATAGCGTATTATTTACTTTAGATTTAGTTAGAATTAATATTAAAGATAGTAAGCTATATATCTACTTTAGTATAAGTTTTTTAAGCTTAGTATTATTAAGATATTATGCGTTGTTACTACGTAGGCGTTTTAGTAGAGATTAGTAGCTAGCGGTTAGTTAGATAGCTAGCTTGCTTATAAACTATATTAAACCTACTATAATAATATAGTTAAAGTTAATTATACTAAGAAAAACTATCTAGCTGTTAAGATATAGGCTGCGCCTATACTTAGAGACTTTTCTATTAGCGCCTTAAGCCTAATTAGTTAGCAAGAAGAATATATATAGGCAGTAAACAGAGACCTTCTCAATAAGAAATATAACTTTATTCAGCATCACATAAATTCTATTCTTATAAGCTAGCCCATAACACTAGCTTAGTAGTCTATCTAGCTTAATAGTTAATTACATTATAGTTAATAGTAGAGATCTATTAATTTTAACAAGATCTTAGCATTATAGCTAACTTAACTAGGCAGCTAACTTGCTTAGATGGCACATTATGCAATCTTAAGCTCGAGGTTACTTTTATCTAATCTTCTAGTTTGTACTAGTGGAAGATTCTAATAAATAACTAAGTGGATTGCAGCCGTGCGCAATTGCAAGGATATTCTTTCCCCGCATACCTGTAGGCTGCCCTCGGTTCCGAGTTCCCCGGGTTCCCCTGAATTGCCGAGACCCCAACTGCATTCGCATTGTGCATCGAATGGAACTTGCAGGATTATCTTTTGATCTAGTATATAACTAGGATAGCCTGTATAGTTTTCGCTACTTTAATCTAATTTCGCGTGGTTGTGCGGAGTTTCACATCCATCTACGACGTACTTAACCTAGATCCTAGTGCAATGACACATCCAGATACATAAAATCGCTTGTACCTAAGCTTCCGACCTGAACTTGAAAATTCACAGTTACAGTCCGCGATGTCGTTATTGGCAAAGGCGTCACTCATACTTTTCACCCTGATCGCGAGGACCTTGGCCGCCCTGCCAGCATCGTATGATGTTGCTTGGACCACGCCCGGCGTGAATGGATCCGCTGATTCTATGCCTCTTGGTGGTGGTGATATCGGCATCAATACGTGGTTCGAGGATGGTAAGTTACTCTTCAAGTTGAGTTGTGAGGTCAAAATTGATGACCATGAACCCGCTCCTAACAAGCAATGAAAAGGCTCTATCTTGATGTACATTGCCAAAAGTGGTACATTTGACGAAAACAATTCTCTACTGAAGCTTGGTCGTGTCAGACTCTCCTTCCAGCCAAACCCCTTCGACCATGATACCTTCGAACAGCGCTTGCTACTCAACTCGGGCTACGTTCAGTTCACTGGTAAGGATAACGCCACGGCCAAGATCTGGGTAGATGTCTTTAATCCAGTTGTTCACGTCGAGATCGATAGCCCCGAAAAAATTGCCTTGAAGGTTGCTTATGAGAATTGGCGGTTTGAAGACCACGAACTTGTCAACGAGGAGCGCAACCAGGGCTCATGGGGACTGTACACCTCCAAAGTTCGAAATGGTACGACATACGCTGATAGTATCGGATTCCACGAGAATGGTGTCTTGATGAGTCATCGCAACGACAAGCTTGACCTCTGGGACTTCCAGCTCAAGCAGCAAGGGCTTGAGGAGCATGCTGAAACGATGTACAATCCTATGCGCAACAATGAGTTCGGTATATTTGTCCACTCTGAGCAGCTTCGGCCTGGAGATATCACCAATGGCACATACGTCAATACCACCTTCAAAGCCTGGAACCTGGACACGAAAACCGCTCGCAAGTCATTCAAGGTCAACTTCACCCTGCACCAGGCTCAGACCAGTAGTCATAAGGAGTGGTATGATGGTCTCAAGAATGTCATGAAGTCTGCTATCAATGCAACTCAGGAGGCTTCGCTTGATTGGTGGCGCGATTGGTGGGACCGATCTTACATCATCATTAATGAGGACCAAGGTGAGGATGATCCGGGATTCCAAGTTGGCAAGAACTACCAAATCTGGCGCTTTTTAATGGGCTGCAACGCACTGGGAGTCTGGCCTACAAAGTTTAATGGTGGGCTTTGGACTTTTGACCCAGTCTATGTCAACAAGTTCCGCCCATATACGCCCGATCATCGCCGTTGGGGAGGCGGCACGTTCACTGCGCAAAACCAACGTCTACTGTATTGGCCTTTACTACGATCTGGTGACTTTGACACCATGACTCAGCAGTTTGACTTCTACAAGCGTATCACGCCTAACGCCGTTCTCCGTGGCCAGGTCTACCAGGGTATTGATGCAGCTTATTTCCTCGAGCAGACCGATAACACCGGTCTTTCTAACGTCTTTGAGTACAATGCTCAGTACTACGATGACGATCAGAACACTCCCCGTCCTGACTTCTTTCCGGAAGGCGAGCTGTGGAACGTGTGGCTCAATCATATGCAGGATACTGCGAAGTGAGTACTTCCCGTGGTCTTGTTTATTCATTTTGCGCTAGTTGACTGTTGCTGCAACATTAATCCTTCTTGCGAGTTCGAAGTTCTCAGAGACAGGCTGACGGGTAAATCTTTAGCGAGTTCGCCGACATGATTCTCCAGGCCAACATTTACTCCGGGTATGATGTCAAGCCTTATCTAGAATTCATAGAGTACCAGCTAGCCTGGTTCGACAAGTACTATACCAAAAAGATGCAGGAGGGCACGCCCTGGGGCTTAACCGGGTTGTATGGCAACCAGTCTCTCGTTATCTATCCTGGCCTCTGGTGCAGAGACATACAAGGAGTCGTACAACCCCGTCTCTACACTTGCTGGCCTTCGAAAAGTGCTTCAAGATCTTCTTGAGGTTGGTGAGTTTAACCCTTAAGAACAGAACCTACTACACCACCTACCTCTCGCGCATCCCCTGCAAACCAACTGCGTCAGCAACAGGGTCACACATGCATCTCACCTGCCGAGGCTTATACTCGCGTACAGAATAGTGAGATTCCGCAGCTCTACACCGTGTTTCCCTGGCCCGAGTACGGTCTAGGCCTGCCGAACTTGACCTATGCCATCAATACCTATCTCTATGATACCGAAACTCAGTCCTATCACGGAAACGCCGGCTGGAAACAAGATGTCATCTGGCTTGCGCGTATGGGCCTTACTACCAACGCAACTGCTATGACCGAACAGCGCTTCGCCCCCAGTACAGTCTGCAAATTTCCGACATTCAAGGGCCCAAATTTTGACTGGACACCTGATCTCAATCATTTCGGCGCGGCAGCAATCGGTCTACAGGAGCAACTAATGCAGACGTTTGTTGGTAACGATATCCGACTACTAGGCGCGTGGCCTAAGACCTGGGATGCTCGCTTCAAGCTTTATGCACCCCACAACACTACCGTCTAAAGGAACAGTCATGGCAGGCAAGATGGAGAAGCTTGTAGCATCCCCAGTGTCGCGGAACGCGCATAGTATTCGGATATCGTTACCAACAAACGTCTGCGTTAGTTGCTCCTGTAGACCGAAACTGCCGCACCGAAATGATTAGATCA